CCTCTCTCTCTGCCTCTTCCCCACTCGTGCACCGTATCTCTCTTATCTCTCTCTCTCAAAAATAAATAAACATTAAAAAATTTTTAAAAAGTTATCCAAATATAAAACCTATTTAGTTCCTTGGGAGAACTTTATTGGTAATACATTGAATTTTAGGGTGACATTTGTCAAAAAATAAAATAATATCAGATGTAGCTTCCTTGATATATTTATGAAACACTTATACATTTAAGACACAGAGTACATACCCACATGCACAAAAAACCCTAACCTCAAATCCTTATCTTTCATTTCCAGTTCTAATCAGTAATTTAGAATGTTGCTGTGTAATGACCGTTATACATTCCTTTATTCTAAATGTCATGAGGAGTTTATTATTGGGGACAGTTTTCTGCTTTCCTGTTAGCTGTTACTGAAGTGCAGAAAACGGAAGTATTGTCCAAGTTTCAGGTCAGTGGATTAATGAGATAGGTTTATGTGGTGGTGAGGGATCATTAAAGACAAACATGGCAGGTGGGGAATATAAATGGATACTGCCCAGTATAGGCAGGTAGTAGACCTCGGAACTCTTATTTGCAAGAGAGCTGGGAACTGATAGCAGGGAAACAGGACTTGAATTCTACAAGGGGAAAGAACAAAGAGAAGAAAGAGAATGTGGGAGAGATGACAGAAAATAGGATAGTTGATGCAGCATTTTGAGGTAACTGTTATCTGGTCAAGAAGGAGTAAGGAAAACTCCCATGACCTGCCTGAGCCTGTTGCTGCTTTGCATGTGCCTTAATTTCATCAAGCTTTCATTTAAATGGTTTTATTTTTTCCACCTGTTTTCCTTAAAAATTCTGATCTTTTCTTAAAGGTGATTTAATGAACATTCTAACTCCATGGCATTCTATTTGTGTTTATCTGTACGTTTCTTTAAAAAACATAAAACTTGGGGGTGCCTGGGTGGCTCAGTCAGTTGAGCGTCCGACTTCAGCTCAGGTCATGATCTCGCAGTCTGTGAGTTTGAGCCCTGCGTCGGGCTCTATGCTGACAGATCGGAGTCTGGAGCCTGCTTCAGATTCTGTGTCTCCCTCTCTCTGTGCCCCTCCCCTGCTCATTCTCTGTCCCTCTCTGTCTCAAAAATAAATAAAAACATTTAAAAAAATTTTAAAAAAAAACGTAAAACTTGTATCCAGAAGACACGCCATACAGCCCCAAACACAGAGCTTTCCAGATATCTCATCTTGAGCAAGGCACTTAATAAATTCTAATGATATACTTTAAAGCCACTTCTAAATGCTGAATATTTTATATAAATTTACATATAAAGTTATGATTATAATTACCATATTTAAGGGGTGCCTGGGTGGCTCAGTCTGTTGAGCGTCTGACTTCGGCTCAAGTCATGATCTCACAGTTCATGGGTTCGAGCCCCACGTCGGGCTCCGTGCTGACAGCTCAGAGCCTGGAGCCTGCTTCGGATTCTGTGTCTCCCTCTCTCTCTGCCCCTTCCCCACTCCTGCTCTGTCTCTCTCTGTCTCTCAAAGGTGAATAAACGTTAAGAAAAAAAAATTAATTACCATATTTAACAGGAAATGTTGGGATAATGTGGACAGAAAAAAAGAAAGCCCTTAATCACTTACAATTTTATGTTTTTATTTATCAAACCTTTATAGTTTCGGGCATTTTTATAATTATTTTTTAAATATTTCAAGCATACAAAAAAAAAAATCAAAGAAAATATGGTACCCATGTGGCCAATGCTAATATTTAATAAATGTCAACATTTTGCCATATTTCCTTTGAGATCGCTGTTTTATTAAAAAATTAAAATATTCTAGGCCCCGGCCCCTGCTGTCTGACATGCTGGACTCTGTGCCCCTTAGGGTTTGCGGGAGTTGCTGAGAACATGTATTTCCTACAGACGGACAGGCTCCCAGAGAGAGAGGCAGGAAGGCACTGAGAAGAGCATGTTCAGCAGCTTCTCCCCAACTCACCAATAAGACACGTTGCTTCTAATTACCAGGAAAGAAAGTGGACAGAGAGAGGCCAGGAGGCTAAACTCTCATTTAGGTACCTGCAGGTAGAAAAGCAAAACCAGAGAAAAATTGATTCCCGTTCAACCTGCCCCTATCCTTTCACGACTTGCCTTAAATCTGTTATATACTATGTTTTTGAGATTTTTTTTTGATGAAATGTAAATCTAGTTCATTTATTTAAACTATTCCTAATGCAGTGGTGTGCTGGTAAACCAGCACTGGGGCGGTGGGGTGGGAAGGTGGGGTGGGGCGGGGTAAAGTGGAGCATTTAAGGGCGGGGTAAAGTGGAGTCTTTAGCATTTACCAATTTCTGTGGTGTACCTACTGCTACCATAGCAAGTTTCAGGCTACAGATGGTTTCATTGGCTCATAAAATTCCTGAATGTTTACCAGTTGGTCCTCATAAGCCAGCATGAGCTAGATCTAGCATGGCACTATATGTGCATGTGATATAATGTGTATTCTAGAGTATGAATAAGCCATGTACAGCTATAACATACCTATAAATGGTATTCCCAGATCATAGGCCATATCCAGTTCAGCTTTGCTGAGCATCCATTAGCTGTCCAAATTGGTCTTGCCGATTTATATTCCACCAGCGGTATATGAAGGTTTCTATTCTCCAAATGTTACCAGTATGAATGTTGAGTGATAGCTAATTGATGCTTAACCAATCCTGTTTAGTCTGTTTATTTGATCTTCACAACTGTCCTAAGAGACCTGTACTATTATTCCTTTTCACAGGCTAGAAAATGGACACCTTTGCTGCTATTCAAACTTAGGTCTACCAGACTTTGAAGCCTATATGTTTAATACTATGGAATTCTGTAACTTTTCATTATATATTACCAAATATTATGCTTTATAAATAATGCACACTTAAATATTTCTGGATCATGACTAAAGCATCATTTCATTAATTATTTTTCAGATTGCATATTTATTGATGACTTTCCAAAAACGAGCTAACTGAATACTCACATGTTCTTTTCTGCTGGAAGACTGTCATTTGTGAGACCTAGGTTTCTATTCAGTTTTTTTTCCTTCATTGCATAGAACGGTGTCACAGTACCAAATCTAATGCAGCACCATCATCCAATTGCGTTAGGACATGACATCACAAACTAATGAGTAGGAGGCCATGGTCTGGTTTAGGGCCCAGAACTGACAACATTTTTTCATCCATTGCCTGAATAATAGATTAGAAAGACGCTTATTAAGTTTGCATTTGACAGAAAGCTAGGGAAGCAAGTAGAAAGAGGAGCCAGTAACTTCATCAGTAGGATTGGAATTTAAAATGAATTGAACTCATATGTGGAAGAAACCAAACAAATGTGCACAGGGAAAACAGAGAGAGGGGCTGGGAACCAAGAAACAGACACTTGGGGCACCTGAGTAGCTCAGTCAGTTAAGCATTCAACTCTTGATTTGGGCTCAGGACCTGATTTCATAGTTCACGAGATCAAGTCTCTCATTGTGCTCCATGCTGTCAGCAGATTCATGATCTCTCTGTGTCTCTGTCTCTCTCTTTCAAAATAAATAAATAAACTTAAAAAAAAAAAAAAAGATACAGACGCTTCACCATAGAGAACAAACTGATGGTTACCACAGGGGAGGTGGGCAGGGGGATGGGGGAAATAGATGATGGGGATTAGGGAGGGCACTTGTGATGAGCACCGGGTGCTGTATGGAAGTGTTGAGTCACTATGATGTATACCTGAAACTAATATAACATTGTTTGTAATATAAACTGTATGTTAACTAACTGGAATATAAATGAAAACGTTAAAACAAATTAAAAATAAATAACTAAAATGACTTTACTGTACTGGACAAATAGTAGTAAATAATAAAATTTGGTAGACAGATAGAAGAAGAAATATTTCAAATACCAGATAGTTAAGAAGAGTGTCAATTTGTACAATTAAATCTCCTTTTAGTCCTACTAACCTAGAATTCATATAAATTCTATTGCTATTCAAATGTTATTCTCACATTATTGGCATGTATCTTATATAGAATTTTTCTTCTATAATTTATTGTCCTTGATTGCTTCTCAATAGTATTTACAAAAGGAATGAATTGCTAAAGGGATAATGTTATTTCTCTTTCAACTTAGGAAGCCTTATTCTATAACATTATGTTTCTGCATGGGCTTGGGGTTTTCTTGCTATTATTAGACTTTTGGGTTATTTTGCATTTTCTCCCAGTACTGTGAATTAATGGTTAAATGAGTTATTGATTATATCTTTACAAAAATATTTTATAATTACTTTTCCTAATAAGAGTGAATATATTATTTGGTAGAATTGTTTCAGTTCTTGTGAACTGATTCTTCATTGTTCTTCTGTGAAGATGTTTGTTAACATCATTAAGATCTGGCAATCATACTGAAAATGGCTGCTTTATTAATACAGACAGTCCTCAGCATTCAATGATACAACTTAACGAATTTTCAACTTTACCATGGTACAAAACCTACATGCATTTAGCACAAACCATAGTTTGAATTTTGAATTTTGATCTTTTCTCTGGTTTACCAGTATGCCACATGACCCACGTTCGCAAACAGGGGTATAAACAACCCATACACTTACAACCATTCTGCACTCGCGCAATCATTGTTTGTCAGTTTCAATAAAATATTTGATAAATTACATGAGATAATAAACGTTTATTCTAAAACAGGCTGTGTGTTAGAGGATTTTGCCAAACTGCAGGCTAATGTAAGTGTTCTGAGGACATTACGGCAGGCGAGGCTAAGCTATGATGTTCTGTATATTATGTGTACTAAATGCATTTTCAACTTACGATATTTTCAGTTCATGATATTTTCAATTTATTAAGATGTAACCCATCATAAGTCAAGGAAGATCTGTATTTTCAGGAATATTCATTTAGTTAGGTTGTCTTTTCTTGCATAGACAGTTATATCGGTAGTAGATTTTAATACTGATATTTTTATCTTAATCTTTTCAGATTACTCAAAGACTGTCCTGGTTTTGTGTTTACCCCTCGATCAAGGGAGGAACTCCCACCAAACTTCCCCAGTGAAATTCCTGGAATCTGTCATTTTCTGGAAGCTTATCAACAAGGAACAAATTCAAAACCATGGTTCCAAACGAAAGATGTTGAAGATGGCAATGCCAATTTTTTAGGCAAAGCCTCAGGAATAGATTAGCAAAATGTAAACCCGGTTATTAGTCTCGGGTTTTGACTCCTACGAGCATGTGTGGAATCTCTGAAAGCACTTTAAGATTGCAGATGACTAAGAATAATATTCAAATTTCAGGAGCTAAGTCACCATCTACTTTTTCTTCCATTTAACAATGCAAAAATGTATTCACTTCAATATTTCAAGTCTTCAGAGAAAAAAAAAAGGAAAGAAGCCTCAAAAATGACATTTGGGGGATATTTCTGTTACTATAACAAACACTTATTACCTGTACTCAAAACTCAGCACCTTGTACATATATCCGGTAATTGTAGTGACCTGACTTGCACAAACTGATGGGGTTACCTGCAGTCTGTGCCCTAGTGGAATGGTTGTTAAAGTGTATTTGTGATAGTGTTGCCTTAAAAAAGCTTTCTGAATAGAAATGATAGTCTTTGATACCATAAGCTCTTTGAACCTTTCAAGTCTGCCTTTTCTTACATTTCTTCATTTAACTGTTGGCATAGATAACAAAATAGGTTGAGTATTTTTTCTGTTGCACTGTTTCTTCTCCATTTTTTAAGAAGATAAGCAATTATGGGTTAGATGCAATATGAATATAAAGTAGTTCATCTATAAATATCAAAGACTGTTTTATAAAAATATCTGCCATAACATAATGTGTCATATCAATAAATATCGACTTTTGTTTGACATTATTCTGCACTTTGGTAAAGGCTATTTTCATTCATATTAGCAATTTAATTCCTATTAATTCATTTTATGTCATAATATCCAGGATACAAGAGGCTTATAGCCAATATAAAAATGCAGTAATATCATTCTAATTTAATTAGAAGTAACATGGGAGTAATGTAAGGATCAGAGAATATACCATGAAGTACAGAAGTAAAACATTTAAACACACACACACACACACACACACACATACACACATGTAGATTGATTTGGATCTGTTTCAGCAGCTATTCTGCATTGCCATGTTGAGTTCTATAAAGTTCCAGTGAGAAATTTAAGTTCAGAAGTGGGAAATGAGACTTGTTTTTTTTGCTAATAGCTTTTTTTTTTTTAGTATTTGTGTTGGACACTTTGGTGTGTATGTATATCCTAAGAATCATCAAGTTTTTTTGTCTAATCAAGTACACATCTGTGAATTTTTCTATTCTATTTGAGATATCGCAATGTTATTTTTTAAAGAGAATGTTAGTACTGATGAAAATGATGCTGCGACTTCATTATGGAAATTCCTAAACATTTTTCTGGAGCCGGAACTTTTATTTTTAATGACATTAGCCTAAGCTCTCTGAAGAAGAGAATAATCTACAGAGTTTGGTTTTGGATAAGGATTTGATTTTTAAAAGAGCTCAGTTTCAAAGCAGGAGAAAGATGAACATTGCAATCTTTAAATCAGTATTAGCAGAGTCATTGATACACTAACCTGGTGACCTCAGGAATAAAAAGTCACCATTCATTGACCTCTAGCATCCCCAGTTTTCTACTACAGATATGGCAATGATTATCATTTATTAAATGATATCCCAACATCTTGAAGCACTGATTATATCTTACTAAATACCAATCCTATTATTGGAAAGTATCACAGGTCTTGGGAAAACAGAATTTTGGAATGAACCCTCATTATAGCGAAATAATAAGAATTAAGGGATTAAAGGAAATTAAAAAGCATAGAATAAAATGTTTTCTTTATCAAATTTTTAAACACACCCCAATCTTTTAATAATTCATGTTCTAAGTTTGTAAGTTAATTAAAATTCAAAAGTATTTTCTTGGTATACACACACACAGAACCAATGGAAGACAATGTAAACAATGTGAGTAAAAGCTATATGGGAATTCCTTGGACTATTCCTGTAACTACTCCATAAGTTTGACATTTTACCCAAATAAAAAGTTATCAGAAATGTATTTTCACGGAGAAATTAAATCCTCTGTGATAGATACCCAGCCCAGCCTACAAAAGCACATTAATTACAAAAGATTACCTTGTGGATTATAAGTAAGATGAACATACATTTCCATGATAGAGTGTGTTCAAAATTCACAGCGTGGATGGCAAGCACATTAAGGAGTCCCTTTTGTCTCTCTTTCTTATCCATTTTGGAGGGTAGTGGTTATGGAGACATTTTCAGATCCAGACCACTGATGGAAACCAGAGACCCAAGAAAGTAAGTTTTCAAGGAAAGTAAGGGATCAAACTAGCACCTCTGAGGTTAGGAGTGGAACTAAGGATAAAGGAAAAAATGGACAGAGAGGGCCTATGACGGGGTTGGGGGCTAACACTTCTGAATATTGTTGCCAGTTCAACTATTCTGAAAAGTAATGTGGGTCCCAAGAGGGCTTCCCAGTCAGCCTGCTTCTCCTAACTCCAGGAATGCCAGGAACTGTTCCTTCAGTTCTGGTTTTACGGTCTCCATATGTGGCTTCTTATTCCTTCTGTATCTCAAAAGATACCTTTTCCTGGGTGTGTACACGTAGTTATGAACTGGTGCGTCAGGCATTGGAATTTCATATTACTCTAAAGGCCATTAGTCCTTCAGAACCTTTGGTGGAAAGGAAGGAAAAGTTACTTCAACATTTTTTAACCTTTTCTCCAAATTACTTATCCCTCATATTGCCTGTCATGCCAAGGCCGACCTTTCCAGTCTTGTCCTATGGTTAAGTTAAAAGCAGTCCTAGGATGGAACAGGATGTTCTCTGGTGGGCCCAGCAAGCTGAAGAGGTGAACGAAGGGGAGTGTTTACTCCACATAGTGTCTGGGGTATAGACATGGCTCCCTGAGACTCCCCAGCTGGGAAAGTGCCAAACTGGAGTTTTACATGCAAAGCCCCAATGAAGTCTAGGGCTATACAATGCTTTAAAGCAATTTTCAAATCCCTGTTAAAGCAAGAGTTAGTAGTCCCAAAAAGAATAAGTTAATGAATTATTGTAGTAGTTTTAAGCATGTGGATTTTACCTGGATAAATCACTATTAAAAAGTGAAAAGAAGAGGTGCCTGGGTGCTCAGTCAGCTAAACATATGACTCTTGATTTCAGCTCAAGTCATCATCTCAAGGTTGTGAGATCCAGCCCCACACTGGGCTCCATGCTGGGCAAGGAGCCTGCTTAAGGCTCTCTCTCTCTCCCTCTCCATCTTCCCCTCTCTTGCTCATGCATTCTTTTTCTCTCTCAAAAAAAAAAAAAAAAAAAAAAAAAAGTGAAAAGGAATCTCTCATACACATTCATTGGGGCGGCTTGAGAGGTCATTATCTTTCACTGAACAATACAACATAAAACATGTTTTGCCTGATTGTGCACTTTGGTGGTATTTCACTCATTAGATGGCTGTACATGGAAAGTTACACGAAGACAGATCTGAAAGGTGGAAGGATTGGGGGATACGCGGCCGGCCCTGTGGGAGGTGGGAGGGCAGTACTGGAAGGAGCTAGGCAAAAGGTGTTGCAATTCCTTTGTTGAAGGACTTCCCATCTTCTGCAATGCAAGAACTGAGTGCTACAGAGACCCTAGATAAGTTCAATCCTCTTGTCTAAATACAAGCTAAAAGCAGGGACAGCTTGCTTTATTGAGCAGAGAACACCAAAATGTAATTTTTAATCAAAGTTTACAGTGTTAAAAATGTACATTTGCAGTTAGGATTCTTCCGAAAGCCTGGGAAATCTTTGCATCCTCTAGTGAGAAGGCGAAGCATCACTCCTGTCCTGAAAAGCATAAGCTTATGGAAGTAATTAGTCCTTGGGAGTCTTTGTTGCACTCAGCCTTCTGCTCTTAGCCACCACTGCTTCCAGGTTTTACATAAAGTGCAAACTTCCTTTTAAGTGCTTCTTTTATTGTGTTGTTGATATGCACTCATTTGGTATTGTTACTTTAAGGCACCTCAAACATTTTACATTTTGTTGCCATCTATATATTTCCTGTGAAGCAGCTTTGCTCTGAACCTGTCACACCTACATCTGTTTTGACTAACTCACACAATCTACACAGTTTTTCATTCAAAGCTCTTCCCCTACCTACCCCCATTTCTTCTATTCAATGCCTGAAAAAACAAAACAAAACAAAAACAAAAAGCAAACAAAAAAGCATAGGTTTTATAAATGCATAGATTCTGATTTAAAAAGAATAAAAACAAACTAAGCAAAAGGAGAAAAAAAGGTGATATTCTAAAAGCCAGGCTTCTTTTATCATCAGTACAGGTTCTTTTTCATCATAGTGAATTTACATTTCAGGAAAGTGTTAATAATTTAGATTTAAATACCAGGGTAGAAATCAGGACAAAATTTAAATGGCAGATCTAGGACTTTTCAGATATTCTGGTAGAAGATTTTGGATAAAGTTGTGCTACTTTTCCTTTTTTTTTTTTTTTAATGTCAAAATATTACATTGCAAATAAACCTTACAGATTGTGAAGAAATTTGCTTGGCAGAAAAATGACTTTGCATAATGTCTAAACCTTAAAGTAGCTGCTAAGATGTTTGTTACATCTGAAATGTTGCCAAATCCATTTGTATTGAAGAAAGAACTCTGAGGTAGTCTCAGAGAAAATTAAAGCACAGCGAAACAAACATACAGGTACAGGAGTTGGACAAGCCCACATAATACATTGCAGAATGGAAGGGGCAAAACTGAACTGGTCGAGAAAGTTATAGTGATAATGGTCACAGAATTCTGTGCCTTCAGAGAGAGTGATGACCAGTGAAGCAGGGATATGCAGCATCTAGGCACAGTTCAGTTACAATAAGCCGACTTTTTCCCCAAACAACTTGTGTCTTGGAAATTTGAAGTGAATAAAAATATATTAGTATTTGAGAATATACTGTTCCTTCACCTCCTCCCACATGTTAATTAAAGATGCCTTGCAAAATCTTATGACAACTTAACATTCACTAATCTAGAGCAGTGTTCTTCAATCTTTGGAGTCCTGTACAATATTAGTAAGATATTTTGGCACATGGACAGTATATTATCAATACATAAGCATAAATGTAAATATTACAAAGATTAATGATTTATAAACATAATATGCTACCCTCAATCTGATATACTATGGTATAGTGGTAAAGCTTATTTTATTTTTTGAATGAGCATGAATATAAATAAAAATTCTAATATTTTCTTCACTTAACCCAAGTGAATCAATCATCTTTATATTTTACTTTGGAAACTGCTGCAATAGGCTAGTGGGTCTTCATTTTCACTGAATCCTGTATCACTGTGAGAACTAGGTAAAAGATGATAGATACAGACCATCATCCTTCCAAAAAATGTGCATATGACCTTATACCCTAAGACTTACCTGTATTTCCAGAGGGCTCCCTGGATTCTATTCCTAGGCCACTCTTGTTAGGTAGCATAACCCTCAAACAGAGAACTTACTAGAAGAGAGGGAAAAATAGTAAATAATGTTTGAAATGAGAAGTGTACAACCAGGAGAAGTCAGTGACTTTTGGTTTAGATGAAACCACTTTTGATTTTTGAGGAATAAAGGGAATTAGCTTATTTGGTACTATTCTGTAGAATAATTCATGGGGCTTCACATATAGGCAACTAAAGTTTCTTTTCAGCCAATATTTAACATATCTCTCGACCTATTTTTCTCTAGTTTTTGGTAAATGTGTATGCTAGAGGTATCCCAATTTTTTTTTTCTAATTTAAGTACTTCTTTTCACTTCTCCTCTATGTG